TTATTTGATTAGAAGTATAAGGTGGATAAGATGGTGTAATACTCTCACAGGTAAGATGGTGTAGCTTCACCTTCCATCTCTTCTGCTGAGGTCAGGAAAAAAAGACATTCAGTGATTTAACAGTAAAATTATGAAGCCACTACACAGTGTGTAGATGTGTATGCCTGCTGACCTTTGACCTGCCGGGCCAGGAGACGTGGTCCTGCCAGTCCGATACCCAGTGCACCAACTGGAGCTGTGATCAAGATGGCTAACACCGCTAATGTTAGCACATCCAAACCAAACTTAATTAAGGCCTCGTCCCCTTCCTTCCTCGCCATGTCCAATGCCTTGGAGCCAATGGCAGCCTAGCACATACAGACATAAATAACTGCTCAGGAGAAGTGCAGATTAACAATGAAGGAGTGTATCGTTAAGATCACAGAGGTGGTTTTAAGGGAAACAACAGTACTTTTTTAGTTCTTAGTCATAACTGAGGAAGATGTATAGGACCTTGGGTTTCATGACTAATGACAAACTAGAACATGTTTATGAGATTAACGTAGTAATTTAGGTTTTCGAAGTCAATAAAGAGAATTCAGGAGCCATGTAGGTAGTTCTAATCAATTCAATCTAGTGATTTCAGTGGTTTATAAAACACACGATGTGTGTGGATAATTTTAGTGGCTGTTCTGGACACCAGTGGCATTTTAGGAGTGTTAAGAGATGTTATGGATCCTTTAGAAGTTTCTGGATAAGTCTGAGGTGCTTCTAGTTCTGGTTTAATAAAGTCGGGTACATTATTCTTGAAAAATGAATATCTTCTAGCAGTCTAATATCAGGATTACACACTCACAGACCTGCACAGTAGCTTTAGGCAGCCAGGCCACAGAAATGAAGAGCTTCTCTTTTAAGTTGAATCCTCCATAATGAACCAACAGGAAGGTGACAAGTAGACGGATCACCAGACCAATAAGAATGCAGGCCATACCCAGACCTAAGGGCATAGACACAACAACAAAGAGGAAACCAGTATCTTAAATTTCCTCAAGCCGTGAAATGTTTTGCTCTGCAGGTTAAAGCTCTTTGATTACTGGGCCCACTGGGCTCCTAGTAACTGAGAACAAAATCTAGAAACAAATGGAGCAAAGTCTAACTGAAATATACTGGTAGTATAATGTTCTTACCCACAGTGCTTGGGCTGAGTGCTTTAATCGTGATCTCAGCTCCAATCAGACCAAAGAGAAGTGGCTGAAATACATCCCATGACCGACCAACTATTTCTGCTACTGGTGCCTGATTGCAAAGTTAGAGATACCTGGATTAACCACATTCCATGGTGCCAGCCATTAAAAGACATGTTGATTTAGGGTAAACATGACAAAATCCAAGGGGCAGGATGCAGGTTAAAGTGATCCTGATATATGATACCTTTTCAGTCTTCCAGCCCAGTGCAGCCAGGAAAGCCAGCACCAGTGTACAGAGACTTCCAGCTCCAGCAAAACCTATAACATTACTGGTGAAGACTGAAAATATGGACAGACCCAGCAACATGAGGGTCCTCCTCAATACCAGATCCTCCTGCGATCAGACAGAAGATATTAAAGACACATTTTATGAACAATTAAAAAAGGAAAAATCATATTAATAAAAAAATGTCAGACCTGGTCATTGCTGGGGAAGCAGTACAAGAACATGCCCAGGATCATACCAGCTACGATGCCTCCCACCACCTCCAGCAGACCCTTCAGTATGTTCATCCATGTAGAACCTGCAGGACAAACACAACGAGACCATGTAGACTAGAAAAGAACGAACTGAACAGCACAGGACAGAAAAACTTTCTTTGACCTGTAGAGAAGGCGATTCCCAAACAAGTAGAGAATCCTGTTATGGCAAGAATAACATCAAAGCTTCCAGCGGCAATCAGGAGGGTGGGGATTCCCTGAAGAACAACACACAGTGACATTAGAGCTTTAAATGTTCTTGATCCTTTGGCAGCTCTTGGGTTGGTGAAGCTTAACTATTTAGTCAATCCTGAAGGAGCCTTGAGCTCTTTTGGGTGATTAGGAGTGTCACTTTCATTTAAATAACCTTCAAGTATTTTAAGACTTTCAGTAGTAGCTACTACTAAGTAGCTGAAAGTACTTGTGTATTACAAGCTTATGAATTAATTTGGAGGGATAACTGATAAGGTTTACAAATCCTTTAGAAGGCTATTGTTACTGAATCACTGTCCTATTAAAAGCTTCAAGGGATGCTCCTGACACCCCTCCCCCACCCATCACTTTCTCTCAAGACCAGGTTGAGATGCAAATGAGGAGACT